AAAAATAAAACCTTTCTTCCTTCTCTTTTTGCTGTGTAGTTTCAGCAGAGACATGGAGTTTCAGGCACAGCGGCAGTGTACAGTAAGCCATATATGGTTCTTCAGTTACCAAAGCCCTTAACAAGACCCAGCAACACTCACAATCCAAGATGCCAATTTAAAAGTGTGCCTGGTCCTCCATGTAGTCAAATATTGCTCAGACTTCTTTAAATCTTTGGTTTTTACTGGATTGAACCAACAAACCTAGTCAATATAGGCAGTCAATACATACACAACATACACTGGTGCTACAAAGCGTCAAACAAACCCCAACTTCACAGCCCATCAACCTCATTAGCCCCGAAATGTGGCTCTCATTTAAAGACCTTCCTCCATGGACTGCTGCAGGGTGCTGAGAGAAAAGAAAGAGACGGAGAGAGAAAAAGAGGGGAAGGGGAGTGGGGAGAGGCTTGATTTATTTGAACAATCTGGTTGTAATGAAAGCAGCCAGGGCTTGCTGGGGGTGGATGGATGGAATGAGCGGAGAAAATAGAGGGGAGGAAAGAGTGAATGGGGTGAAATCCAACATGCAGACAGATTGTTGGACTTGATAATGGTTTAAACGGACCCTACAAGCCTCTTAACCCCCCGGCTCAGTGTGTGTGTGCATACATACTGTACCTAACCATATTACAGCCATGAATTCCATATGCAACCCATTTGTGCTGCAATATATCTTGCTATCAATGCTGAAATACCTGTGTAAAGGGCCAATGAGAGATAGAGAATGTTTACTACAGCTGCTAACACACTAAAAGCATGGTTTATGTCTTTTGGACGTTGATGCATTTGAAGAGCAAATTCTGGCACAAAGAGTTTGGATGTCTCAGTTAAAAGAAAATTGCATACTTCAGAGTGTTTGAAATCATTTACAAATGCACTAAACCTTTTGGCACTAATTCATAACACAGATCTATGGTCCTTTTCCGGAATGCATTTCTAATCTTGAAAGTATAAATTCTGAAGTTTCATGTCCTGGTGTCTCATGTTGGGCCCAGTCCCAGTGAATCCTCCGACTAGTCTTCCAAATTAAACCACAAAATATGTAAGTTTGTCCGTGCAGTCTAGAACGACACTTAGAAGCATTTTCTGATGCCACAGTGAGCATGAAATCATTTATCTCTGTTAAAAAATAAACCACTTTTATGATGTTACAATGCTATGCTTAAGGTTTGGTTAGCGCTAGGATCGTGGTTATGGTTAAAATAAGCACTTTGTTAAGGTTAAGGAAACATTGTGGTTTGAGTTAAAATGATTAGGTTACTTTGCTATAGTTGGGGGACCTTTGTCATCATGGTTACAATAACAAACACTTGGTTAAGGTTAGAGAACGACTGTGGTCATGGTAAAAAACAAAAAACAACAACTTTGACTATTGGTTGGGAATGGGAAACAAAGTCACATATTCTATTGCTTTAAAGGTCCAGTGTGTAACATTTAGGAGGATCTATTAACCTTAGAACGACCAGTTTAGCTACAGAGGGAACTGGGCACCATGTTTCTACAGTAGACCGAAATGGACAAACCAAACATTGGCTGTAAATAGGGCCTTTTGCGTTTTTTGTGAGTTTTGGGACCACTGCAGCTGTATTCAAACGGGTGCAATCTGCAATTTCATAGATGCCACTAAATCCTACATGTTGGTACTTACTAAAAAATACTTTTACATTTTCACCGCCACCGGGTGAGGCGAGTTGTAATCTTCAACTACACCGCGAGATGCCACTAAATCATACACACTGGTCATTTAAAAAAAAAAAATACATTGTGACCTATTTCTAAAGATTAATGTCTTTAGTAGGAACCATGAGAAAGTTCAAAAGTATTGAGAAGCAAACTAATGCATTCATGTTTTTTGGATAGAATAATGCTAGCCTTATTCATTCAGTTTTAACCTATTCAATTCTGGGAACTATAACAAATGAATAAGATATAGTTAGATCTTTACATATGGAAGAAATACAGATTGCAGTTTGCTTATAAAAACTTGTTCTAACTGATTTGGACTTGTCTTGAATGACCCAAAACAATTATGGTTGAGATTGAATTAAAACACCCAAGAAGAAAATTACCTTGACTAATACCTTTCTGTATATAAAGTTCTAGTTTAGTGGAACTCACCTTTGAGACTGAACAGGAACAGACTGAACACTAATGGCCACATAAGTGTTTACATCACTGCTTTTAGACTAAATTAATCACCTAAAGAGATGAACTGAATCAAGACACAGTGCAGGCTTCCCATATTGTCTTGGTTGAGAGCTCATGTTCCTCATTCTCATGAGAAAAACACAGTAGATAAAGCTGTGGATGGTGCTTTTCCTCTCTGAAATGCAATACGAGGTTTAATTGAATTAGCTTTAATTGCTATTCATTTACCCATGGACTCAAAGGTCTCCTCTTACCCATGGCCCTTAATGACTTCCATGTTCTCTGAAGCAGAATTTTAAGTTAAATGGAAAAGTCTTTAACACAGTACAACAAAGGACCACCCGAGATCCTGCAAATTGTTGAAACTGTTATGAAACATTTTACGA